GTATCAGCAATTATAACCCTACATTTTGCAGAAACAGTAATGACACAAAATCCACTCGAACTTTGACCTGATTAATGGTGCACCTCATGTGCGTGGGCTGCAATTTCCAGTGTCTTTTACAATATAATCACTAGTAGCAGGCTTTGGAGATAAACCAATAATTAGAATTTAGAAATGCAAAACCAACAATGAAGAAGAAGAAAACCAAATCTAGTGTTTTATTTATTCAGAAAGTTATTGCTTTGACTGAATACCAGAGGAGGATTGGCCTGATTGCCATGACGAGTTTCATGCATAATCAATGGCGAATTTGGAATAGGTCGTGGAATTTGAGCAGGATCAACCTTCGATGAACCAACAGCAGTTCCAGATTGGACAAGAGCAGGTGGTATAGAAGTTACTGAATGATTTTGTAATGCTGATGACATTCCAAATATTCTTGGGAGTTGAACAGAACCAGGCACCCTTGCTGCTGGAGCTGTCTAAAATAATCCACAAACAAAAAAAAAATAGATCCAGTTTTTTAATCAGCAACTGAATAAATTTTTGAACACAATATAGATCATTGTACTTCAAACTGGAAAAAGAAAAGACCTGAGCAACTCATATCAATGGATCAAAAAGAGCAGCAAGCATTTGGAACACAATTCATATATGATCAGAATGGTTAGTACAAAAAATGATCAGAATGGCTCTTAAAGAACAAACAAATCACCTCCTCTTGGAAAATTACTGGTTAATAATACATCTATTGCAAGTACTACTCACTATAAATAGAATGAAAATAGTTGAAAAAATTCTATGACCTCGCCTTTTCTGAATTGCTGGCTACTTTCATTGAACTGAAGAGTCATTAATTGACAATTTCTGACAGATAAGAAACTATAGAAGACTTTCAACAATATTAAATTTCCTGGACGTTCACAATGCAAATGATCCAATCATCTGTCTCTTCAAGTTTTAATTCAAAATGATTTCTCATATTTTGATGTTTACTTTACGGTTTGATAGAGATCTTGAAATTCTGGGATTAATAGCATCCTAGTGTTTTATATTTAGAAAGCCAAACTAAGTAGAGAGTTCGATTGCCGCCACAAAATCAAAGGGAAATCTATCAACATATGCACTTTTCTTTTTATTCCTCTTCGTGTTCAACCTGACAAAGAACTCTATTTCTTGTTCCTCTTCATAATCATATTTATACCTTAAATTGGTATGGACATCTACTATGCAAGAATAGCCACAAATTACATTCAGTTTCAAAGAAGGGTAAAATAAATAAAACAGAAAACTGGAAAAACACAGTTTTTAAGTTTGCATGCTAACCTGCCATGATTCCCAAGTCTGAGGCCCAATAGGAGATCCCTGGGTTGGTGGTGAACCATGAGATACCACTGAAAACAGAGAAGCCTGAGGAGTTGCAGGAGATGACTGCATGCCTTGGGATGCAAATGAGAATGGCAGTACGCCTTGAGACTCTGCTGAAAAGGGCAATGATGATTGCCTAAAAGGACCAGGTGACAGTCTAGCAGGTGGTTGTGAACGACTGCTAGCCAAAGGAAAATGCAACCCTCCAGGCGCTGTCCCCATTTGAAGCCCATTATTCATCAGACTGCCTGGTGCAGTTGCTGGAAAAATACGAGAGCCATTGGTCAATGGTGGGGATGGCATAAAAGGACTTGGGGGGCGAGAACCAAGCGGTGGTGCAATTAGGCCACTGCTCGGAGGAATCTCAGCGAGAGGTAATACTCCGTGAGAAGCAGGCTGCATGACTGGAGCTCTACCCATTGAAGATGACAAATACCCAGGAGGCGGTGTGGGAAGCTGGCTAACAGACGGCCCATCCGGTCTCCCTGGAGCCACATTTGGGGGACCCAATGCTGATATTGCTGGTCTTGGAACTGCACCAGGTGGTGGTGGACCTGGTCGAGAAAGTGGCAGTGAGGGAGCTGATGACTTGGGAAATCGCTGAAATTGGGTCACTGCGGGATCTCTAGGGGGCTGAATTGGGCATTGAAATGGGACCATTTACATTCAAATTCCTCAAATTATCGGAGAATTTCTCAGGCCTTTGCTGTGACAGAGTGTAGTTGTTTGAGTCTAACAAATTTCTAGCTTCCTCTGAAAGCACAGGATCTTCCATTTACGCCCATTATCAAAACGCAAACCCCTTGCGTGCCTATATATGCTCCTCAACACATATATTATCCTTCTCATGCACTCTTACAAATTCTTCAACGGAACAGGAAAGAAATCCACAATCAATATATTAATCAAACCCCCCAAAACGAGATGAAAAGTCAACAAACCACTCAAAAAATCGATCACAACTTCAAAATGCAAATACGAAGCAAAAAAACCGCACACAAAGACGCATATACATGCACAATCATATCTCGTCCGAAAAATTAACACGCAAACATAGCATAACATACACACAAAATTAAGAAACAGAAAACTAGTATTAGCAGACAACACTTAATCAAGCTACAGACGAGGAAAGCAAGACGTGGAATCGAGAGAGACCGACCTATTAACACCCGCAAATGACAAAATGAGGGTTTTAGATACGGTAAAATGGTGATTAGGGTTCTGCGCAGAGAGGATAGGAGGAAATGAGTTCAATGGTGGAGTTACTGAGAGACTGAAATGAGAGGATAACATGCGCATGCAGGTGTTTTCATGGATGTGCAGATACGCATGCGGATGCATCGGGTTTGTTCGTTACGAAAAGTGAAGACGACAATATCCAGTAGTCTTAACTGGGGTCCACTTGACACGTCATCATACTCCACTATATGTCATCTCCATTCACGTTCTGCCACGTAATCATCTGTGCCATGTCATGTCTATGTCATCATCCTTAATCCTTACGGGATATACCTTTCGGTTGTTTTTTATTTTTATTTTTTATATACAATGTAAATAAATTATATATAAATAAATGTAACATTAAATATAATACATTGTATAATGTGTACAAATTATATATAAATACATAGATTTAGTATTAAATACATGCATGTAATATTAAATTGGATTTAGAGTAGATTAAATTAACTATGCACATATTACATTATGAATATAATTAAATTAATTATGCATTATCAAATTAGTTATAGAAATAATTAATATTTATTGATAACTTTCATTTTCTTTTTAAAAAAAAAAAACCAATCGCAATTAATTAACCGAAAAATAATATATCCATATTCAAGAGTAGTCTTTCCCGTACGCGAAAATTGGAAATACTACGTATAGCATGAACTAAATTATGAGTCACCATGTTACAATTTCGTCTAATTCGGTTCAATGAGACCTCCGGCCGTTTAACATTGCAACTATGAAACCATACTACGAGACATCATCTTATATGAATTTTAAAACATATACTATCTTTTGTGCATTTGTTTTAATAATCTCATTTTTTGGATACGTTTAATTATATATATATTGTAATTTTTAAATATTATATTTATAAAAGTTCTATCTATGATAAATTTGATTTAGACCGAACTTATCAATCTGGTCCCTTTTTTTGGTATTAATTTACTAATATTTACTCATAATTATATTTAATGAATTCCAATAAAATATAATAATTTTTGTTTATTGATTATAGATAATCTAATAATCAATTTTTTTTTTCTATATTATTAAAATAAAATGTAATAATTATAATTAACCATCACTTAATGACAATTAGGTGGTGTGTTGGAGATAAAAATGTTTTTTAAGTCATAGCAAGAGCTCATAAATGCTTATTAATTCATGATCATGTGATGTAGATCACTAAAACACATTAGCATGTTGTTCGGTATCGAATATAAATTATAGTTTGAAATTAATTTTTTATTTTAATAATTGTTAATAATTTTATAATCGTGTATATTTGTATTCATTGTTACGATAATAATACGAGTATCAAATTGAATAATAAAAAATAACATAACTGACAAAAAAAAATGATATACAAAACGTGACCTGTCAAAATATATAAGTATATATATATGTGAAATATGATAGTGAAGTTTTCAGTGATCAAATCTATCACACATTTCACTAAACAATAATTATTATAAAACATTATATGAAAGTACGGACGTTAAAAATTTAAATGTTATTTAATTATTCAAAGAATTACTATCAGACATCAATATTATTTACTTTTATCTCTAATATTATATATTACAAGGTAAAACAATATAAATGTAGAATAATAATTGACAATTAACGAAACTTTTTACGTACTCTTTATATAAGTATGAATAACTCAATTTTTAATCCCAATATTTATTCGTAATTTTATTCAAGTACGAATTTATGTGTATATAATACAAATGTCTTATGTAAATACATTGTATCGGTTGAAAGTTTTCGATTCGTAAACTTTAATTGTTTAATATATAAAAGTTCATCGTAATTATTTGTTTGATATATCATTATTTAATTTTGATAATTAATTACATATTCGTATTCTTATTTAATATTGAATGATAGAAAAAATATTTGGTTTGAATTTAATATATAATTAATTTTATAATATATTTTGCTTTATATTTTATTAAATTAAATTATAAAATAAATAAAGCTATTTTATTTTATTTCATTTAGTTAACATAGACAATGAATTTAAAATATAACTATTTTATTTATAAAAAAATAAAAATAAAAAATAATTAGAGATTTATTATTTTTATATATATAAAAAAGAAAATAATTTTAATATTATTATTAAGTTGATTGAAATTAATTTTTAGTTATTATAGTTTTTAAACCATACAAACAAACAAAATTAACGAAACTGTTAGAATAAAACCAGATTAAACGTGGATCTTAATCAAATCCAACTCCAACCCAAGCTTGACTAACGAAAAGTCACGCTGACGAATTCGCTGACGTTGACGCCACGTCGTTTTGATCGGAGAAAGTGCACACACTCGCCCACTAACTGCGACTGCGCAAAAGGATTCACATCCTCCACACAAAACTACCATTCACCAAGTCATAGTCCAACACGCAAAAATGACGAATCCTCGTGAGCCAGCCAGCCAGCCCTAACCAAACAGAAACCAAAACCAAACATACATTGACACCCGGTTCCACCAAAAATTACTCTCTCCCTTTCTCTCTCTCTCGATGGCATCGGAGCAAGACGACACCGTTTACCTGGACGAATCCCACGAGCTGGACGAGGACGAGGAGGAATCCGAATCGGACGAAGACCTCGAGGAGAACGACGACGTATTGGTCCCCGAGGACGACGACGATCCCGAGGAGGAAGAAGAACTTAATTCTGCTTCCACGTCATCACCACCTGCAGTCTCCGTCGCTAACGTCGTTACAACGACGACGTCTACGGTGACGCCAGTTACTTCCACAATCTGCGCCGTAACTGTTGCCGTACCTGCCGCACTGCCGTTAACGACGATCCCTAACGGCACCGACAAGCCGGTCATGTCGTCGATCGATGATCCGCTTCGTGATTCGAAACGACATCGTATGGCGGATTTGTCTATAATCGTCCAGGAGGACAAGCAAAGGCCTGTGCCTCAGCTCGACGAGTCCCGGCGGTTGTTCCAGCGATTGTGGACCGATGAAGACGAGATCGAGCTCCTGCAAGGCTTTTTCGAATATACGACGTCGCATCGCGGCATCGGGAGCTCGCACCATCCTGATACGGCGCTGTTTTATGATCAGATAAAGTCAAAGCTGCAGCTGGATTTCAACAAGAACCAGCTCGTGGAGAAGCTTCGGCGCTTGAAGAAGAAGTATCGGAACGTGATGAGTAAGATCAGCTCTGGTAAGGATTTTTCCTTTAAAAGTCCTCATGATCAAGCTACCTTCGAAATTTCTAGAAAGATCTGGAGTAATACTGGGAAGATATTAGGATTTGAAGATAACGTGTTAGATTACGAAGAAACTAACAATAATGTTAGTAACAATCATAACAATATTAGCCATCACCCTAACTTTGAAGTGAAAATTGAGGATGGTGTTGAGAGGAAAGGGGCTAGTAGGTCAAGGAAGCGGTCAAGGTCAAAATCCATCGGAAAGATTGAGGAGAAGCGTATTCCGGGTGACGGATTCGTGTTGAATAGCGAGAATTTTGGGAGTGCCGGCGTCGGTGCCGGTGCCGGTACTGGAGCCACTGCCACCGCCGCCGGAGGGGGCGGTGGAATAGGAAATGTGGGGGTTGGGGCGATAGAGGAGACGCTGAGAAGTTGTCTGTCGCCTGTGTTTAAGGAGATGTTGAACGGGGCTATGATGATGATGATGGGAGGGATGCCCTGTGGCGGGAGGGGGATTGGGGCATGGAATCCCTTGATGCCAATAAACTTTGGTGGTATGGTAGGGTTTGGCGGCGGAAGTGGGTCGGATGTGGTGGATGAGAGGTGGAGGAAGCAGCAGATTTTGGAGTTGGAGGTGTACTCCAGGCGGTTGGAGTTGGTGCAGGATCAGATTAAGGCTTCATTACAGGAGTTGCGGTCAATGGGAGGAGGGTGATAATGGTTCATCCCGCAAGAATTGGAGTAAGTAATCTATTGGGCTCTCTGGTTTATTGATATAAAAAGGATTTCTTGATCATTCAATACTGTAGCCAAGAATTTCTTCTTTTTTTTTTTTTTTTTTATATATCTCTTTTCTACTTTTACTTTTTTGGGGGGTTTTATTTATCTTAACCTTTTATTAATTTGATAGAATAATTATTTAATAATGGCTTTCTAATTATTTAGTGGTTCAGTAGTATTGTTCATATTCTGTAGAGACTTGATCTGTTGTGCAGATAAATGGTTTGATACTCAGTTGGATTTCTTGTTAGAATAAACACACTGTTCCATTGCAATCTATCTCTTCTGCTTAATAATTTTTCCATTACTGAGTTTTGAGTTTCAGAAGTTGGCATGTAATAAATTGTCGCCAACAAGTTCATCTTTCCCGTAGAAATTTTAGTGGACTAGCAACAAATTTTTTCTCGGGTATTTGTGATTAGCTGTCTCCTTTCGATCTATCTGCTGTAATAGCAAATTATCAAGTTGTATTTGTTTCCTAATACTGATAGGGATGATCTCTGTGTTTTGTCAAAATGCTATTTTCTGCTGGCAATAAATTGCTTCTTATGTTATCTTTTAGTCTTGCTCAAAAGGTTATTCCTACTTGTGTGCTTATAAACTGAATGAGAATCTTGTGGGCCTGAAGCAATAATTTTAATGTTGTATTAGGCTCCTCCTTGATCAAATCAAGAAGTTCTATGGAACGTTTTTAAAGGTTGATACTTGATCCAATTAGAAGTGATAAAAATTTTACTAGAAGATTAAAAATGACATCTTAAAGAACTTCAATTAGAACTGAAATAACATATTATTTATAAATTCTATTACTTTTGATAGGATTTGAATGTCTTTTTTGTTCTTTATTTCACAATTTTATGTGAACTCATTATTCAGTCAATTTATATACAAGTTCTTTTCCCTCTTTTAATAATTTATAAACAGATTCTATAAGAATGTTTGATTTGTTCTGAAAATAGCTTTATTATAATTAGCTTTTCAAAAAAAATACCCATGAACTAATGCAATTGCATCTCCTGGGTTTTGGTTGAGTGAATCCAGTTGGAATCAAATACAGGCTGTTGCCAATGTGGGTATTGGATCTTGCCAGTATCAAATGATTCGAATAACTAGATTTACCTTTAGATTCTGAGAGTGGACTTTGAATCTGGATTTCCTACTTTATTTCTTGAGGCTGCATCTTATGTGCATAGATATCAATGACCTTGTGAACCCCTTGAATGGTTGGGGGAAGAAAGCTTTGAGCTTGTGCATGATGTTGTGCTCTTCTAATACACATATACACACATATATATTTGCTTTTACAGCCTTCTAACCCATCAATTTTGTCTCTCATCTAAAGCTTTATCTTCAAACAGATTGTTATTGTTGTTCTGTTGGAACCTTTCCTTCTTGTGAAATGTCAGCTTTGTTCATCTATGCTCTACTATATTTTGGTATCATAGTGTGATAAGATTTGAAATTTATCATTTTCAATTTTTATGTGATAAATTTTTTTTTGTTATTCTAGCACAATTCTCCTCATGTTTGTAGTTAAATTAAATTTTACAGAGAAACTTTACCTAATTGAAATTTAATGTTCAAACAATGCGTGATGAGAGTGAAAAATAACGCAGAGCATGAATACTCTAGGTTTGTATGAATCGGACATACCACTCGTGTGTTCTTTTTTAGGCTTGAGTCATGATTTTTGAAAATACATAATCAAATAATGAGATTCACGTTTAGAAAATACGGTACGTGTTGAAAACAAATAATAAAACATATAGTTTGTCACTTTATGGTGTATTATAGATTGATGATTGCTGATTTATAATGTTCGATTCAATAAAATATGATGATTAAGTTCTCTTAATTGAAGTAAATATAACAGATTAAAAATTTGATTTAATCATTATAAGAATCCAACCGAGTGTGTTGTTTAATTCTTTTTAACTTCTCTAAAATTATGAGATAACGAATTTAAATAATATTTTAACTATAAGATCGAGAATTGTTTAAAAAAAAAAATTAAAAAACCTCACACCATAAGAAGTCGGACTATATATCTAATTAATTAACGTTTGTAAAATAATAATAAAAATTTATAGTAGATTCACTCGAAATATAATTTTATAACAGACATACGTATGACATATAGCTCACGACGCAAAATCTTCGTCCTCGAGAAAAGAATGGAACAAACAAACGTTCAGTAAATAAATGATTACTACAAAATGGTATTATGACGTAGAATTTTATATGAATTAAAGATAGCACATCCCAAATTTTATTGTTATATAAAGTATTTTTAGAATTGAATTAAGTTTGAATTTATAAATAAATTTAATTAAAATTTTGGAGAGATTAAAGAAAGCCTAACATATTTTTATCTCAAAATAAAAGATGAGATGCTTCATGGATTTTCAAGTGAAATTGGGCCCAAATTGGATCATCACAAAGCGAATTTAAACCCGACCCGAAACCCATGAGTAGCCCAACCCATCACCAGAGTCCACGTGCAATCATGAAATCTGCCTCTCATCACCTTATCCACCTTCAAAGAACGAACAGCATATGCTCCTTCTCTCCCTCCATGGATCCCTTTTGCTTCTCCACCACCCAGTCCCTGAAAATTTAGCACAGAGAACAAAGCAAAACCATTCTTGGTTCCACCAAATCAAAAACAAAGATCACAATTTTCAATCAGAAAAAGAAACCCAATCAAAGAAAAAGTTTCAGTGATCAGTACCCACTTGAGAAGAAGCTCTGCAAATGGCTTCCGCAACCACCAGACCAACTTTCTCTTTCCACCATCTCACCTCCCAATCTTCCCCTCCTCCAAAACCTCCATCAAAACTCTCCCTCCACGCCTCCCCGAAACTCCCATCGCCATCAATCATCAATCTCCAAATCAACAGATCGTCTTCAAAGCAACCCTCCACAACTTCTCGCTCCATCGATGTCTCCAAAGAAGACAAACCCACCTCCGACCAGCAACAACCCGGTTCAGAACAAGCAGAACAACAACAAACCATGGAAAACCCAGAGGAGAAATTCGACACGCGGAGGTTGGAGGAGAAGTTCGCAGTGTTGAATACTGGAGTGTACGAGTGCAGGTCATGTGGGTACAAGTACGATGAAGCTGTGGGTGACCCGTCGTACCCGATACCTCCGGGGTTTCAATTTGAGAAGTTGCCGGACGATTGGCGGTGCCCGACTTGTGGTGCGGCGAAGAGTTTTTTCGAGAGCAAGATGGTGGAGATTGCGGGGTTTGCTCAGAACCAGCAGTTTGGACTTGGAGGGAATGCGTTGACTTCTGGTCAGAAAGCTTTGTTGATATATGGAAGCTTGCTCTTCTTCTTCGTGTTGTTTTTGAGTGGGTATTTCCTGCAATGATGAGTGGAGACTGGAGGAGGAGGAGGAGGAGGAGGAGGTTGGTTTTCTGGGTAAGAGGAATTTTTTTCTTAGGGGAATGTTTGGAATAAATTTGTGGAAAATTTAGTTATAAATTTCCAATTATTTAAATTAAAAAATACAAAAGTTTTTAGTTAAAATAATAAAAAATTAACTTCATATAAAAAAATTATATTTAGAATTAATTAATATATTTTAAATTTTATTAAAGACACTTTTTTAAGTCTCTATAAAATTTTATATGAAATTAAATTTTAATATAATGATGGAATGTAGAAATTTGTGTGGTGTTTTATTGAAGCTAAACGTGCCAAATACACAAGTGTTACTTTTAGGGCATGTTTGGAATGAATAATTAATTTATGGGCATTTTTATTTGGAAGAGTCATCACTATTTTATTGAAATTGTCAAAGAGTTTTAAATGTATTATTTTATTTTTATTGAGATTTTTTAGGAGATTGTGTTATTATTTTTACTAAATTTTTATGATTAAAATTTACAGTTAAATTATTTATAAATTTTTTAATAAGACCCATAAAAATTTATTTATTAATTAATTCCAAACACGAGTATATGAAAATTTGTGATTCAATTCAACTCGATGTTGAAATTCACTATTTTATTGAAATTATTAAGAGTTTTAAATGTATTATTTTATTTTTATTGAGATTTTTTTAGGAGATTGTGTTATTATTTTTACTAAATTTTTAAGATTAAAATTTATAGTTAAATTATTTATAAATTTTTTAATAAGACCCATAAAAATTTATTTGTTAATTTATTCCAAATACGAGTATATGAAAATTTGTGACTCAATTCAATTCGATGTTGAAATTGGTCACGCATCACAGTTATATATTATTTTCTTGTGTCAAAATACGGGTCCAACCAATTTGATAAGAAAGTAGGTTAAAACGGACTAAATCTTCGAGATTGTATGGTGCGTTTTTATGTATATAACATTGTTTTCTTCATTTGAGATACCAGAAGATTCCGAGTGAAACAAAACCTAATCCTATTCGAGTTTCTTTCATTGCTTTCTTCATTTGAAATAATATTAGAGGATTCGAGTGAAATAAAATCTAACCCTATTCGAGTTTTTTTCAGCCGTATCTCTGCTTTGTTCTTGCTCTACTTCCTTCTTCCCTCTCGCATTTTCGTATTCGTATCATTTTAGAATTGCAGGTTGGTTTCAAAAGAATTTTGTAACATGATGTTCATACTTGTTTTTGTCTGAACCGACACAAATTCAGCACTACAGGATATGAAACATAACAATGCAATATATATATATATATATAGATATAGATATAAATTAGCCTATAAAAGTCAAAAGCATTTGTTTACAACCAGTCTTTAGGTGTCATATGCGGGATTAATTATCATCCCTCCCACCTTAAACAGTAGAAAATAAAAAATTCAACCTCCCAAAAATTGTTCGATGATAATATAGAATTAGAGAATTTCCATTTCTAGTATAAGTCAGAAATTAAAAAAAAAACTTCTTTATCATAATAAAAAAGAAAAAAAGAAATTCAAATAATATGTTTCTAAGAAAAGATAAAAAGAGAAAAAGTTAATTCAAATAAGTAAAAGACAAGAGCAATTACAGGGCAGAGTGGTAAATGGAGGTCATAATTCAAACCTATCCGAGTAATCGTATCAACCGGTAAATCTATTGAACCTAATTAGCAACATACAAGTTACATACAATATACACCAAGGTCTAAAAATAAATACAGCCATTTTTTGCTGATTCCCTCAGTTTTGCAATTGCATATCGAGAATCGCAAGTGTATGTTCCTTTTATATGAACATAAAAACCATCGGAATCCAAGTTTCCGCTAATTATTCCGGGGCACGGCCTGCTCGACGCAGCAGGTCTTCCAGGGGACCCACTGTTATAAACAATCTGCAACTTTGCGGGGCTTGCTTGTCTAAACGACTTGCTTGCCGCGCACATATCTTTCTTTGCCAAATTCAGAGCAATGGCTTCTTGTAGCTCTCTGAGAATTTATTCTGCTCTTGGGACAAGGTAACACGGAAAGCTTCTTGCTGTTATATGAAGAGATCTAGACAAAAAGCTGGTTAAGGGTTCTGTGATAGTCACTGGTTATTTATGGGATCAGGCGTCTCTGAGGATCCTTGTGCCTTGACCTGATAAATCTTCTTCACCTGTTTTTCATATACACCACCCGAATTGCCTTCTTGTCGGTAATACATGCCACCATTCCCATTTGCTGGCCTATTGATCCACTTGGTGGGTGGTGATGGCAGCACACCTGTGTTCTGCACAAACTGATTTCGTCTGTTTGGTGAATATCCCGAATTTGGCATTCTTTGCGGATCTGCATGTGCTCTGCTTCTGACCGTTTCTTCCATTGACAGTGCAGACATCCCGGTCCTCAAGTCCTGGTATTGCTCTTGGTGATATAATCTATCTTGTGTTTTCAGATTGTTTCTCTGGCCCTGGACACCGTTAGATGATGGAGAAAATCTCGGAACACCTGTTATACCTTGAGAACTGTTGCAGCATCCATGGTAACTTGAATCATCAAAGAAACCTCCTTCATACCCAGAGGGCCCAGCTGGTCTAGGTCTGTTGACTGTATAGTATCCTGGAACATTACGAGATGGTGATGACTCCAGCATGCCAGAGGGTGAACCAGTAGGTTTAATGTTAAGGGTGTTCTTGACAAGACGATGAGCAGCTTCTCCCAATATAAAGCCAGCAATTGCACCGGGCACATGGGGCCTGTTAAAACAACACAACAATAAAGATACTGGTATTACAGAATCTGCAACAGATTACTGCTATCACCCATAATGCACTGGCATTTCAACAAAACTCAAAAGGATACATTATTTAATAAAAGAAAATATTTCTAAAAGCTTAAAAGGATTTGCTTTCTGTTCATTCACAAACCAATAATTGGAAAAACAGAACCACATACTGAAAATAGGATTCTGATCCTACTAATCAAGTTTGGATGGTTCCTT